TCATTCCAATTAATTAGCTTGTTGGTATTTTATTAAACATTAGCTGAAAGTGATTTTTTTTCCAAATCTACAATACTTCAGGCTTTCAGCTAATTAATTGGATGCCACCTTTGTTATTTACAAGGGGATTGTGATGATAAGTTACAGTTCTTTTTGAGACAGTGCTTCCTCAGTGATTGATTAGCTCCATTTGAAACAAGTTCAGAGAAGTTATATAAAATCCTCTTGGCCTGCACTGGGTTGTCCAGCTGCTGTATCAGCAGAGTAAGGAAACCACCGTGCACGCTAATTCAAAAATGCTTTTCCTACATGCTCTCAGCCAAGCCACACACTGCTAATGCTACTTTTAGTACAGAGAAGGGGCTTGATTTAGAGGTACTGAGCCTGAGCTGCTTCTCAGATATCAAAATATATGTTGGACTGTGCTGCAGGGATGACTTTTCTTCTCTCTGCTCTGCAGCCACAGGAATAAGAGGAGGATATTGGCTTTCCTTCCCACTCCTTACAATTTAAAGCTGTGGCAGGCATCTGAAAAATGCTTGATCCAGTGGTTTGTGGACTGTTTGTAATTTGTGTGTGACGTGAATTTAGTAAACATGAAGATCTTTCTTCACAGGAGCTTATTTTCTGTAAGGCGAGATGGGAAGCTGTGTACGTGTGTTGCTTTCTTCACAGCACTGTTGAGGGACAGTTTAGATTAAAAGCAATAAGAGTGGATGTGTTCTCACAAGGAAGGAATACAAAGATTTTTAATTCACTGCAACTAGAAACTCTTCAATGTGAGGAGCAGATAGAAAGCCTTACTCATGAGTCCTGAACAGAGTCCTCATGAGTCCTCAACAGACCTGAAGTTTTCATCCACTCCAGGTAGCTCTGATGGTCAGGTAAGTGCCATGAGTTGTAAAGCAAGCCCAGGAGCTACATTCCAACCTAGTGATTATTTTTTATATATATATAGCTACAATATATTATTGCATGCCCTTGTACAAGGGGGAGTCAAAGGCCAAAGTGTAAGAGCAGGTGGGTGAGACGCATATGACATTCTTCACTGAGCAAGTTGAAGTCAACTATTTGACATATCCATACATAGCTGGATCATATATCTGAAATCACCATTTAAAGAACTCTTCAGTATGTCAATGAAGCAAAAGTCTTTGGGGATTGTTCTAAAAAGATCCTCAATCTGGAGTGTGCAGCACTGGAGACATTTACTGACAGACATTTGTGGGGAGAGTTTCTTTTGTACCAACTGTTTACCAAGAGGTGACATTTGATGACTGCAGCAGATACTTCAAATGCAGCATGTCTTGGATTAGAATTAAGATGGGCAATCAAGTTATTGTGGTGTAAAACTTTTTTGCACTTCAGCTGAGCCATAACGACTGCTTGTGGGCGTATCTTTAGCCCATAGAAAACAACAGGGCAGGAATGAACAACATCCTGATCTAAGTGGTGGATGAAGAAGGTGTGCAGATGTTGAATGTGATGTGTTTTTGTGTGTGCAGCCAGGCAAGCAAATGAAGAGGCTGAAGCCTCTTTAAATCCATGCCTGACTTAACCTGCAGGCTAAACTACTTCGCGTTTCTCTACACTTGGTCTAGGCTGAAAACAGGCATGAGCACAGCTGCCATCACTGAGTTAATGTGCAGTAACATGTTCCTCCAAATAGACAGTGTGTGAATTTAGAAAACTGGTCCCACCGCCTAAACCCACAGCATCCATCCTGCATAAGCACTTCCTTTGCAAATTAGAATTAGAAACAGAGAAAACCATATTTTTGAGTCCTTTACACGCAGCCCCACATACACAGATTCAGAAGCTCCATTCTGGCAGCGGGTCTGTCCTTGCTGGACTCTTCCCTTTACTGACAGCCTTAGGGCTGGTCACAGGGGAAACAAAAGAGAGGCAAGAGTGTCATGTTCAGCAAAGAGTCCTGCAGCAGGTTATTGGCAAATGGCTTGGCAGAAGATTTACAGCTAAATATGAAGCACTGCAAAAAAGGTTAAGATCTAAATTTAAGTCATGTTTCTCTCTCCCTCTACTAATATTTTCCAGACTAGTGGACTCACAACCAATATTTGGTTCTAAACAGACTCTAGAACATTAACTATGCCCATTTCAAATGTTTTTCTATTTGCTCTGCTGCTCTTAGTGATGAAAGAAAATATTTTTTTTCATCATCAGCCTAAATCCCTTTAGCTTAATATTTGGAAAGATTATATACTTCATTTAAAAATGCCCTTTGGAGGGGTATTTCTTATTCTGAGTCCAAGGTTGTGCTTTTACACATGGAAAGTTTGTCCTAATTATTTCACATTTAATGCTTTTCATGCTTAAACCCCCCCCTTTTTTTTCCTCAGATGAGTTGTAACTGGCTCCATTCCAAAATGATGCATTTGTTATTAGTCAGCTCTTTTTCCTAAATAACTTAGTTTTCATAAAACAGGAGAACATAATCTGTTAGGACTTCTTGTTTTAAAACAAGTTTATCTATCTACTTTTCACAAAACAGAGGGTAATATCAGACGCCAGGACACAGAATGAGTAGAAGCAGCCTGAAACCTCAATTTTTTTTTCTGCTGGGGTATTCACTATATATTTGATAATATTCTTGTTGGCTTTCCAGTTATAAGTGACCAGACTGGAAAGTAAAGCTTATAGGAATTGGCCATTATACCTACATAAATACATGTAAGTATAAGTGAAAAACAGACTAAATTACAACATGCATCATAAACTACTAGCTTCATATTATAACAGTACTGCCCAATATTGAAAAATGTTTGGGTAAAAACTGTAGAGGAAAGATGCACAGTTCAATTTATAATTGCCTTTCCATGGGAAATATTCATTGCCTGAGATTTCTTTGTAGTAATCCTTTGTAGAGCAATCCTTTATCCCATCCAGAGCAGTTTTTCATTCACTGATCTCCCTATGCTTTGCATAAGAACGTAAGTGTTATTATCCCATCCTAGCAGGGAGCAAAACCAAGGTGATGTGGCCTCTTCCAAAGCTTGAGGAAAATGGCAAGGGAGGATGAAAAGCACAAGGATTTTACATCAGTGGCAGTCTTGATTCTGAGCTTTAAAGTCTACAATACTACCAGCTTCTCAGCTAGAGGGTCCCAGCATTTGGGAAGGTGGAAGGCATGAGGTTGACTGGCTCCACTGCCCTGGCGTTGGAATGGGCTGCACTTGACTGATCTGATGCACATAAATGCTCTTGCTTGGCCTTTTCCTGCTACCACCATGGTTGGTAGGGTGCAAGGCAGAGGATGCCACTGGCCATGTGCAGTGAGCCAGCTCCTCCCTGTACTCAAGGGGCTCAGTATGGCTTGCAGAGAAACTGGAGCTGGTTCCCCCACATGCCTTAGATGTGTGGCTCAGAACTCTGAGCTGTCTTTGGAGCTGTATCTAGAACACACTGCACTTCAACTAATTCCATAACATAAATCACAGAAAGGCTTTTTAACTTGGAAGCAGCGGTGTCCAAATGTGGCTGTGCTGATTCCAGACTTTCACTGCTAATGAAGTCTTCCTGTGCTGCTTGCTTTTTAGAAGCTTTCCTGCTTAGGCCTTTGCTGGATGAAAAATGTCTTCTACATCATGCTTCATTATATAGTGTAGACATATGCTAAATATCTCATACCCACGGGATGAAATGACAGCACTGAACAATCAGAGGCTAATATACTGTATGTTAACTTCCCTACTTAGTTGTCTGCAGGAGGGAGTCTGACACCTAATTAGTGAAAAACCCACCAGTCTTGTTAAACTGGGGTGACCCCTATTGCTAATATAACTTCAGCTGATCAGGTATTAGCCATGGTGGGATATTGTATTTATAACTACGCATTCATTACAAAATTTCAACTTCCTACAAATTCAGAGTGGCAACTTCTTACAGACTTCCCTCATGTCTGTACAGGAGAACCCGTTCCTCTGAGAAAAGGTGGTAATGTCATGTATTCTACATCACATGTTAAAAGATAAGAGGATTCAGGTTATAGGAGCTTCTCCTGGGCATAGTACTATTCAGGAATTATAAATTAAAGAGGGCCTTGTGCTGACTAATGTGACACAAACCCTCAAATTAACAGCAGGTTTAAATTGCACTTGCAGTAAGCAGCACAAACCACTGGTTATTCACATGCACCGTTACTCCAGAATTGGTGTTGGTTCAGCTGGACCCAGTGCTGAGTGACTTCTGTTGGCTTCACTGAATGGTTTTTAGAGCGCACACGTGATTAAATGTGTGTTAAAAAGCAAGCAGGGACAGTGACACTGAGAAACAGAGGTGATTTCTGCTAAAAGCACAATATGAAAGCTGGGGAGAGAGGAGGAGTATTACAGAGTCTAAAACAATGTGACTGCTCCATTCTTATTAGGAATTAATAAAAAAGTAGAAATCTGACTTTCAAAATATTTTTTAATGTTTCTGTAGAACTTAGAAGTTTAACAAAATGATGGGCACTTCATGAAAGGTACAGGCTTGGGCTGAAAACCCAAACATTTCTTAAGGAAAAATCCTTCTGTCAAGAAAAATCTGCAGCTGCCAACGCAGGCTGCGGAAGATACACATGGAAGACAGGGACTGAGGATTGTGGGGGAGACATGTTTACTAACGAGAGAGTTCTTCATTCTAAAATCTTATTTAATTTTTAAATACTCCAGTTAAAAAAAAAAAACAAAACAAACCACATCATGTTTTCCTTTCTCATCTATATTTCAGTAAATGTAAAATAATAAATGTAAACCAATTTAAAGTACATTTTGTTTCCTTTCTAAAATCACCAGGTGTAGTAAAAGTTATTTTTTCTAATTTATCCTCAGAGAGCCCTATGTCTTATTGATACTACATTGTATGAAGAATGTAGGACTATGCACTATTTAGAGAACATCACAGTGCTGCTTTGATCTTATTTTGTTAACCCAGATTGTTTTTTCTCTGTGGTTACTTGTAGCAACTATATAGACAGACATGGCGTGATCATTCCTTACCAGCTCATTGCTGCCATCCTCATCAAAATCCTCCTCTATCCCATCAGTCATATCTTCTCCATCCCCATCTGCATCTGGCCCTCCTTCAATTGGCTCTTCTGTAGAGTTATCTGCATTCTCTGATATGCATTCCTCTTGGATCAAATCAGCATTATCTTCCATTTGTTTCTTTTGAGCTTCTGTAAGGAAAACATACTCTGCAGAGATTCAGTAACCTTCCCTATTGGTGGCAAAGAAAAGTGGTCTGAAGAAGAAACCTAAGCTTCCCATCTCCAGATGTGCTATCTTTGTAAATATTAGTGTGTCAATGTCTACCAGGCAAATATGATCAAAAGCCTTGTTTTCAAAAATTAAACCATAAATCAACCATAGTACCAACATGCTCATCTATCCCATGCAGTGGATGAAGGCTTGATTTACCAGGAGATCCAGCTTTTTTATTTTCTGCACTTTGTTTTGCCTTGGGAATCCAATTGGCATAGTCACTACATATTTATTTATCTGCGGCCAATGAGAAGTACATAAATCTTTATACTATGAGAAGTGGAATGCTGCTAATTGTCAGTAAGTGAACAAGGATTTGCATAAATTTGCTGTGAATATATCTCGACATACAGATAATCAACAAATCCTTCTAGACAACTGAACGTATTTTCTACAGAGTATAAGTAACAGTTTTTCTTCCTGTTGGTATAATGTGCTGCGGTAACTGGAGAATACCCTCCTCCAATTACCCAAATATAGGCTTCCTATAATTTCTGAAAATAAAGACTGTTTCCATGGAGGCCCAGAGGATCTGTTCTGGTTGGCTTAATGCAGATAGCTGCATTGTTGTGGTTATGTATTGCAAGACTCCTGGATGTGCTGAGGAATTTCATCCAGCCAGCAGAAAGCCAGAGAAGGACTGAGGGAGGAAGGACAGAAACAGACTGGCTAGAAGAGTAGTTGGAGGGATCAGAGTCTTAATCCTATGCACATCAGGAGTTTAGATGAAAAGCCTTATTTACTCAAATAGAATACAGGCCAGAGAATTTGTTGCATGTTGCTGGAATACCAATGTCTTCTATGTCTTTTTAGTCTGAGGGTGAAAATATCCATCAATGATCAAATTGCTAGAACAAAACAATTTCTTTCTTTGTTAGATTGACTGTTCTGTAACGCTAGCAGTGCATCACCTATCTTGTTGGACAGCCAATGAATCTGCAGATTGACGGTGAAGCTCTGCATTTTTCAGCTCTATGAATATATTATTATTTTACTATAAATTATTACCAGCTGCATATTATACTCAAATCTACTTGTACTTTTCTGTATCAAAGTTTTAAACCAAGACATTTGTTTTTTCTTTTACCTCTGCACATTTATTTTACAACTTTCACCTCTTCAGTCTTTGTTAGTCTCTAGTCCCTCTTCAGCAAATTCATTTACTGAAGACACAGAACAATTAATCTGTTCTCCCTTAGTCACATAATTTATTTGGAAATCTTTGGAAAGATTCTTGGATACTAATAAAAAGTCTTCTTAGATAACTGCTTCAACAGTGCTATAGTCAGATATATTAGTAGAAGATTCAGTCCATGGAGCCTCATCATCTGTTGGCAAAGTGCACTATACAATACCATGCTAGCTGCAGGTCATTGTGTTACTTGCCTCACTGTGCAAGAAAATGTGGATCAAATCAGCTATGCCCACTATGTCTTGCCCCACCACCTTCTACCTCAACCGACTTCTGAGATTAAGCCAGCAGTGGCAGTGACACTTGGATCAACTTTGGTTAAGGCTTTCAAAAAGGCTTCCTGAAATTATGGGCTCAATACATTTAAACGGGAAGACTTTTAGGATATATCTGCTAAAATATTATGTCACTTACTTAATTGTCTGAATGAAAACTTAGACTGGGTTCTTCAGAAGTGTCTGAAATACCAGCTCAGCATCTAACTCTTTTGGGCTCTTCTGAGAAGCTAAACTAAAGATCCTACCTTTCAGTACCCATCTCTGATATTACAGAGAGAATATTCACTATTTTTTTCACATCAGAACAGATTCTTATCCCTGGCTTCCTGATTCAGATTTTTACAAACAAAGGAGCTATTCCTGTAGTTTCCCTAGGTATAGGAAATCATATTATCTATATTCCCCCCATTGGAGCAGTCAGGGCTTGGTAAGAGCGAAAGACAGAACATCAGCTGTTACTCTAAGGAGAGTTTTCACGCAGCTGTGAAGCAGTAACAGATGTATGCACTGAGCTTGTCCAGCTTGTCTAACCTATCACATTCCTCCAGATGTATAACTTTTAAGTTTAATAATTAAATATTATTAATGAGAGTGATGCAAACTTAAAAAACCAAAAAGGGCAAGATGATGGCTTGATTTTTGTTTAGTGTAAATAAGACATAGATCCTCTCTCTGATACCAGTGTTAGTGAGGCCACGCCTTCTGTCAGGGGAAAGTAAGAAATATTATTGCCAAACCATAGAGAAGAAACAAAATATCTCACACCTGATACTGTAAATGAAATAGTTCAGCTACTGATGTAGCTTTATCTTGCAGAAATCTTTTAGCTGAGGAAGCAATCATCTGCAGACTGATCGCCCAGGCTGCATAACCCTCTTCATCAGCTCAGGTGATTTAAATGTGGATCCATGTTTACTGGTATCTCTGAGGTGTTTTTTCTCCTCACACCCTCCAATAAGAGGCAAGGAATAATTGAGATGAGATTTGCACCTGGTGTTTTAAAACATCAACAATTTGAAACCAGTTTTTAATCTCTGAGGATATAATTCATTGCTTGTCTTCAAAAGGTGTAACAGTATGATTCAATACAAATCAACGTTTTGCTCTTTGAGATGATTTCTATTCAAAGGAGATCACTACAGTGCTTTAGCGAAAGTGAAAATTTGGTATCAAAGTACAATGGCATGCAGGTTGTTTTGCATAGTAATGGGTTTTATATAAAAGCTCCCTGAAGTAGGGATGCACCATCTTGGAGCATTTCAGTACACAGGTGATTCAATGGAGTGCCTTCACTGGTAACACCAACTTTTATCCCACTTGTATTCAACATATTCTATTTTGTACTTTATGCATATTGTGTATGCTTCTCCTGAAAGAGATAATCACGCGCTGTACTAATGATTTAGCTTAGACTTGAAAAAAACCCCACTTATTTTGTGGGGTAAACTATAACAGCTGAGGGGTTGGTCTGTCTTTCAACTTAGAATATTATTGTAAATAAAGAGGTTGGGTTTTTTGGTTGTTTTTTGTTTTTTTTAAACCACAAAATAGTTTTCTGTAACATTCTTCCTTAGGAAGATGTTCATTAGAGTTATTTCTGAATGGCAGCAGGAAACTTCTGGGTTCAGAGAGATACCCCCACACTAGATCAGGAAATAGGGCAGGCACTTGGGAGCAAGAGGGATCCAGATCTAAATATCTATTTTGTCTGTGTAAGGTACATAAAACTCAGCTGCTGATTACCACCAATGTTTTAGACAGTCTTGACGGAACTCTCTATATCCTGTTTGGTCTTTTTGGCTTCATGTAACTGATTTGTGCTAGACAAGGGACACATATCTGAGTGCCCAGACACTCAGGCAGCTGCAGATTCTGAGGCAGAATTTCGTTCACATATTTCACACAAAATACATAAAAAGTGTTCATCAGAGAATGGAGGGAGGGAAAAATAAAGAACACTGAGATTTTTCAGGTGATAAGGTTTCCATTTCCCCACTATCTGTCATCAAAATCCACTCGCTAGTACACAGCTCCTGTACATAAATAAACCATGTGATTTATAAGGAAAGAGACAAGGAAATGCCATAGACAGTGGTAAGAACTGATATTGTTTTCTCTATATACTGTGGTGAAAATACAACCTTATATATCCCTTATAACTGCTCAGCATGGCTTTAAAGTGCTGCCAGGTGAGATAATTCAGCTAACAAAATTACCACTGTAATGACAGAAATAAAGATCTTGATTAAATTAAAAAGTAGTGTTGGATTTTGTCATTCCCAAGGTTTGCCTCCAAACAAAACATTTCAAGCTGGAGAAAAGCTTCACACAATAGCGTAGGTTAGAAGGGATTTCTGGACTCTCCAAGTCCAATCCCTCTTCAAAGCAGGGCCAAACTCAAAGTTTTGTCCAGGCCCATGGGCCCTTGGCCCAGTGAGTTTTGCATGTCTCCAGGGATAGAGCTAGTACAGTCTCTCTGGGAAACTTGCTATAGTGCTTAGCTGCATCTATTTTCCTTATATCAAACAGGAATTTCCCTTGCTGCAACTTGTGACTACTACCTATCACCCAGGCAATAATTCCTGATGTAGACTATCTAATGTGGATAGCACAAGCATCAACAACCTCCAACTTAATTCTGTCCAGTCAGTTTTTTAGTAATGTTTTGTTTCCAGAACATCTAGTAAGAATCTTTTCTTTTCTGTTTTTTTTTTCTCCTACTACACCATAGAAAACAATTCTTGAAATCATGTTTCATGCTCTGTGAAGAGTATTAATTTATCTTTCCAATAGTTCTACCTGAGAGTTAATTTACCTTGCTTCAGACCTACATTATGTAGCAAAATTTCTGGAAGGTTTCCATTCTCTCTGGTCTGTCTGCTTGACTGATAACTAGGTTCTAATTTAATTCATTTGACTACAAATTGCTTTCACCTACCTGCTTCAGCTTTTTGCTGCTTTTCAATCTTTTCCAATCTCCCTAGCAAGGAGTCAATTTTTGTTTTGATTTGGGTTAATTCCTTCTTGATTGTTTGCAACTCATCTGATTTCACTGTGGAAAGAGAGCAAAGATGCAAAACATGAAATAAACTGTATTTGCAGCCCCCCATGTTATTTTTTCTTTCCTCTGTAGTACAAAGTCTACTTTCTCATTTCTGTCGGTACCTTTAGAGATTTAACTTTTAAAATGAACATTCTTAGTTAAAAATGATGAATCCTAGGAAACTGCAGTGGCAAGACATTATGTGAGATGTATTGCTCTATATTAAACATTTCAGGCAAAATATCTCAAGGATATTCTTGGTAAATCCAAGTAACTTTTACTGAACACCCTACAGTGAAAGAATGATTCAAATATGACAGACAGTTCACAGTCTTGCAATGCTATTTTGCTGGACTATTTTGCAATAATAGCGACAATAATAAAAAGATCCCTCACAGTAGCAGTAGGTATTTTTCAACATGAGTGAATGGTAACATAAATGCTAGGGCAGCCAGGAATGCAATGTTATGTTTCAGTCAACAAATTCATTGCAATAGGTGTTAAGTATTGCTTCAAAAGCTTTCAGTTCTGGCAATTTCTTGTACTTTTTCCAGCTATGGATAACATACGAAAATATTTATTTTTATGATCACATCCAGGGACATGGAGGCAATGCCTATAAATGAAGGGCTGAGGTTTCCAAATCATTGTTGCATTGGATTTCTCTTCATATTCATTATTGCTCTCCTGTTGTCTAATGTAAGAACGAGTAACTGCTTTGGAGGTGTTTTGGCTTCAGAAGAAACAGCACTGCAGCACTCATGAATGACCTTGTTATTACGGCATTGTCAGGACATGTGTTTATGCTCAGAAGACAGTCCAAACAAATCCACTTGCCCTCTCTGTGCTAGAATATAATGTTGAAAAGACCAAGAGGAGAAAATGAGAACCCTGTGCCAGCATGGGAGAATAAAGCCATTTATAAAGCTCAAGAGCAGGTAACACAGCTGTCACTCTTATGGCTCTTGTAGGAAGAAGTGGACCATCACCTTAAACCGTGAGAGACTGGCAGTGGAAGATTACTGAGCAGTGTTACTCATCCATCCTTACTGTTGCTGAAGGAGGATGTGCATTGACTTTGGTGTGTGCATCCAGAGCAACGGGAGGGCCCCTAGCAAGCCTGGGAAAAGGGTTGTTCTGCTGTGGAGAAGGACACGTTCCCTTTCTGTCCAAAGGGTCTCCTGGCTGCATCTTGCCATATCAGTCCTGTTCATTGACTCTTGGGCATGCATCTCATCATGGTTTCTCATAGGTATTTTTTTATTGGACAGTCAAAATCTGATTATGAACTGTGCAGGTAACCTACTGCCTGCTTCAGTGGTAGTAAATAAGTATGTGTTTGCTTTGAAATCAGCCTTACCGTGAACTTGGAGCACATTCACTGGGACTGAAACCAAGGCTTTTTATTTTAGAGTTTCAGTCATGTGCATTATAGTTCTTACAACTCAGCTAAAGGCAGTAAGTTGCTGTACGGTGTGAATCTGTACAATGGGAAATGATAAGTGTTTGCAGCAACCTGCTATGAAGCCAGCTGGCAACACATCCCGTGTGGCCAAGCTGTTGTGTCAGAGGTGCTCCCTTGACTGGCACATAGCAGGCTTACCTAGGCTAAAAGGTCAAAAGTCAGAAGCGACACCACAAGGACCTAGTGGCATTTGTTCCCAGTATAAAAAGCAAAGCAGAAAACATTCGCACTTCTGAGTTTGGCAAGGAAACAGGCACATATGTAGGGTTACTGTTCAACTCAGGTCAAACTTTCTGCTTCACAGGGGCTTCCCTGCGATGTCTCAGTGACAAACCAGCTTGGGAAGTAGACTGCACCAGAGGGAACACAGCCGCAACACTGAGGATTCAATAACAAAGGTGGTGTAAATGACTGAGGAGCTCTATTGCTGCCTTGCAAAATTCCCCTATACCAGAACTGTTTTCTCAAGCTTTTGTCACTGAATCTACAACTTATAATTCACATTTAATGAGGTAACTCCATCATACAGTCAATCACTTCAACTGAACACTAGAAAGAACTGAAAGAAAAAAGGGGAAAGATTTTCAACAAATCTGCACAAGTTCAAATTTCCACCCTGGTTCCAACATTGTGGTGGTGTAATTATTTGAGTTGCTTATGGTCTTAATTGCAGCGTATTGTACAAGTCTTCAAAATCATTCTCCTAAAGAAATTCCACTCTCAGTTATATTATAGCGAGTATTTCTACTTGCACAAGCAGCCCAGAGAGGCTGTGGAATCTCCATCCTTGGAGATATTCAAAAGCCTTTTGGACACCATCCTCAGAAACTTGCTGTAGGTGACCGTGCTTGAGCAGGGCAGTTGACCAGATGAGCTCCCGAAGTCCTTTGCAACCTCAACCATTCTGTGGTTGTGTGATTCTGTGTCATAGAGCTTGGGAAAAACTTTAGGATTTTTGAGCCCAGTGTTATGACAAAGACAAAATGTAAAGACTCTAAAGACTGTAAATACTCTACTTCATGTTTTGAATATATAAATTCTTTAAAACTCCATGGATTTTTTAAAAATTGATCCCAGGCAAGAAATAAAGCAGTTGATAAACATGAAAGCAGACCTGCATATGTCCAAAATATCTGTTCTGTCCAAATACTTACTGCTTTTATTTTTCATATTAGCAGATAAGTAAAGGCCATCAGGTGACAGAAAAGAAATTACTAATGAAATTCCTCAAGCACTGGCACCAAAATGGCTAAATATCTTCAACAACTTTGATGCAAAAAAGTAAATAAACAGGTGAAATTTGCTGATGAGATTAAATTGGAAGGTATCATCCATTCAGAGTGAACTTGAATGGAAGGAGAAGTCAGGTGATTTTAAGGAATGATACATTAGAAAAAAGATGGAATGTAATTGCACTGAAAAAAAGTCCTACACTTGATTGACCAACAGCAGAACTCCTACTCTTAGCAATGAAGCTCATCAGCAGAAAAAGACAAGTGGCAGAATTATCCTGGGGTGTAGTTATTATCTCACGTTGACAGTAGGCCATTGCTGTAATGAAGCCATCAGAAAGAAAATGCAGTGCTAGGATGTGTCAAATGATGTATTGCTAAAGATAAGGAAGTACAATGGCATTGTTCAAGGACCTGGTGAGAGCTCATCTGGAATAAAGTGTACAGGTTGAACCACTGAATTCTAGCAGGTACATGGGCAGAAGGGCTGTGAAGATGACTATAAGAATGGAAAGCTTGTAGTGTGATGTAAGAGTTTTGCTTCTTTGCCTGAGACAAAAGAAGGTAAAAGGAAATAAAACTTTTTGAGCTACAACAGTGTTGACATAAAAAACTAATATGAAAAAATTATGAAAAAATTTAAGCCGGAAATTATAAGAAAGAGAGACAGACAAAAACCAAACCCTAACTAGCTTTAAGATGGAGCTTAAAGGATTAGATGATGTTGCTACTTTCAACAGTAAGGAATGAGACTCAGTGACCCTTTCCAGCCCTCCGCCAGGAGTACAAGGGCCTTCCAAAATGCATCTTTCATTGAAATGTCTCGCACTAAAGGAGACAAACTGCATCCAGCTCAGAACAAGAGATTTAAAACTGAGGTCAATCACATTTTTAGAAATGAAAGTGCTACTGTTGAGTTACAGCTACATTTTTGGAAACATATTTTGCTGTAACCACAAATTGATTCATCCACAAAGCATGATTCAGATTTCCTTGGAAAGAAATATCATATATTTTTATCTAAGCCCTTCATATTTAACAAAAAATATTTTATCATATTGTATTTCTTTAGATTTTACAGAAAAATGGGTTAGCTGATGAAGATAAATATAAACTATACGAGTTAAAATGTATTAATTTAAAGGCATAATTCAGTACATGTTGTACAATCTTACACCTTAATCTCAAGCACACAGGGAAAAAATTTGATTAGTGTTTTCATCTTGTTTTCAGATGAGTAAAATGAAAGTGCATACTCCAAGAGCTTCAGTTTCTACATTGTCGGAAAAAAGTGAGTTTATCCCTGTTCTAAATAGCAATCTGCATCTCCTGCTTCATACCATTAGTATGGAGAACTACTATGTGTAGTTTCCACACCCACATGTTTCATTTTGTGAGCAACTTCTGATAAGGTGGAAAGGTTGATATATTTTTTTCTAGTCTCTGGAGTTAAAAGAAAATATTGTCAACTACTCCTTGAAAAATTATAGATTCAGGAAAGAAATCAAATCCTCCCAGTTTATTTTGTGTTTTGGAAGCACGCTTAGAACACATACTGCCACTTTTTTGGTAGAACAAGAATTTACTGCACTCGTAGACATTATTTTTGCAGATGTACTCATCAAGGAACAAGGTATTTTTGGTATTATGTTTTATAACATCTTTGTTGTGTGCCACAACAAACTTCTGTCTTTGGATTGCTGGTTTTCAGAAGGGAGTCCCTCTAGTCCTGGTAATTTTACTGAGGGGTCCTCTGTGTTCTGACCTTTAATACTACATGTATGGGTTAATTTTCTGGATCCAGACTGAGTGTGGAGAACAGCTATGAGAACAGTTATGCTTATGACATTTCTACTTAAATCTGAAAAGTCTGTTAGGGGATGTGATCTCATGAGGGCATTGCTATTTGAGGGTGAAATCTTTCAAGCGTAGGCAATACCATTTTGATATAGTTAATTCTGCACCTGCGATTAAGCTGTGTTACAAACTTGAATTTCATTAAAATCCAAAATAGCTTCTTTCCCACAAATTATGTTTCTCCGTATTGAAGAGATGCTTTATTTAACTAGCAATAAATTACAATTAGATTCAACAGTGCACTAGTTCAAGGGGTTGAGATTAGCAGCATAGAGTGAGGGTCAACAAAATATTAAATTGCTTCATGCCACAATTCAACACAACCAACTTTTCCAAGAAAATGGCAAAAGAAGCTGCAAAACACACATTTTCTACTTTTCAACCTAAAGCCCCAAGGGAATGACTCGTTTATTTCTCTGATAAACATCTTAGAATAAGCTGACTACATTCCTGTCCAAGTCAACAAGATCATGTTTCTACCTTTATGATGAGTTGGTTGGACTTGACAAAAAGGAAAGTAATTCTACGGAGAAATCAAACATAAAAGTCTGCATACTGTATGTCTGACTCCTTTTAAAGGTGTGCTGCATGCAGAAAGAATATTTTCTGAAATCTATTCCAGCACGATGGATAGTCTCTGGAGTTGTGTTCCAGTTGCCATTGAAAAGAACTGAGGGTGGAAACCCAACAGGGGTCGAAACATCAGCCCACATTTTTAGTGGTGCATCTTGCAACTTTCCCTTCAGTGTTACAGAGCTGGATCCAAAGGTGATCTTGTCACCTGGAGGTCTAGGTCTGACATTTTTGGAATTCACGTCACACTTGAATACTTTGAAGGGTGGCATAACACTGTCTGTTAGGATCTCTACACTCCTGATTGCACTTCCATTAAACAATTTACAGGTTCTGTAACATTTGCCATGTTATGCAGACAGTGTTTTGGAAGTCTTATAAAAAGGGGCTATGACTTTATGCATTACTTAAGTCCTGAGACAGTACTACAAAATATTTTCTGAAATACAGCATAAATAATAAATCAAATTTGGTGATTATTCTGAGGGACAGGTATCTATATGCTAATGTAATATGCTCTGTCCCATTCACTACAATGAAAATCTAGATTTCTGGGTGAAAGATTTCCTTGCCGTCTATTGGGATATACTAAGGTCCTCAGCTCTCTAGAAGAATTTGGAGTTATTCTTGTTCTGGACAATGAGAAATATATATAAAAAAGCTTATCTGAAAATAATTCTTCTGAAGGCAAAATGAGTCCCATTCTTATTAGACCACTCTTCAGGACAATTAGTGAATTGAATGCACTGATACTACTAACTTTTAATGTGGATAAGGCAACAGCAAAAGATGAACAAAGATCTAATAAATGAATCTGTAAATGTATATATATATAAATACATATATATTACTAAAACTTTGACTCAAAGACTCAAGGGCTGGAAAAAACTAACAGAATAATTTAATTTCTGGGTCTACTAAAGTGAAGATCTTGAACTGTGTGCTTTCTTTTAAACTAATATAAGGAGTCATGATTCATTACTTAAAGTATTGAGGAAAGACAAGAAGTAGTTATGGACAAGTGGATTAGTTCAAGATGTGTACGAAAATTATTGGACTCATGTTCATCCTCCAGAGAACAAAGGAAATGCTGCTCCTCCCAGACATCCTCTTAGGGTGTGAGTGAGCTCCATAATATGACACCTAAACTGAGATGTCTTCCTGTGAGCTAGGTATCAAAGTTCCCATTACTGGTAATGGGCATCTTGCCAATTCATTCACTGGAGACTTGTGTGTGATTCAACTGTACAGCCAACAGATCCTCTCTTTCTCAGAACATCATCCTTTCCAAGGAATGGCTTCAGCTCTTTGTTCCTCAGTGTACAACATTATCTTTATCTCTGTTTATCACATTTCCATTCTTTCAGTCGCATGCATGTTTATGTTTTCTTTCAAGGTCTCTGATACCATCAGTTCGTACAATAGTATTAAGAATGGATCCTAGTGGGATCATTAGAGGTCCATCTTCTTTGTTAGATGCTAGTGTGTGAGGTTTGAATATGTTATGCAAGCAGAGCGTATAACTGGCTCATACTGATGTCATAATTAAGCTCTCTTGCAGTAAGGTGTACTGTTGGTGGATTCACTTATTTCATGGTTGTGTGTAAGACAGTGTGATGTTTTGTTGGCTAGTCTGCTACTGCAAGTGTCTTATGGAAGTCCCTTCATTCTTTCTGATATCTGATCCCTACCTGATCTTTCTCTTCCTCTTCCAGTGACGCTTCCAAGGACAGTATCACTCCACATAAGGGGCAGGGGAAGACAGGTGGGTGCTGAAAGATGCACGAAGAGGAAGATGAAGTTCCCAGGACATACTATGAGGTGGGGAGCTTGGTGAGCATGGAGGAGGGAGTGCCTATTGTTCATCAGCCTCTTCTAAGGCCAACTCACTAAAGAAGGGTTGAATAATCCCAAGTTGCGAATCCTGTTTTGGACTCCCTTTAGAACAAGCGAAGACACTTTGCCTCTTTCTACTCTCAAAGGAATCTGTCAAAAAAGCACACAGAACCCAACCTCCCCTGCCCCCCCAGCCCACCCCTGACCAGCTCAGGTATAACCCTCAAGTCTCAACAGAAATCAGTATGCTTCTGTCTATAACAAGATTATTAGCTTTGCTTTATTACCAGATGTTCACAAGACCTCATGATGCATAAGCAGTCAGAATGAGAGGAGATTTTAAACAGGCTTTTTCTGAGGCCAAGGGAGTAAGTCAAACATTGTAGAAGGGATTTCCTTCAAAAGTTACATCCACGTGCTCTTTGACTTGCAGGAATGGCATGTCAGCTTTGGTAGTCAAATCAATTTTTCAAGCTAAAGGCTGAGGGTAGGAAATTACTGCAACAGAGCCATATAGTGGAAGTTGTCTGCTTGCAGAAATTGCTAGGATATTTGTTTCAATAGTGTTCAAATGATATGAGTAACTCACATTTTGATCCTGAGGAAGAAGCCCCACTTGAGGTGGATCGTGATGCACCTTTCATGGAGAAAACCCCTTTGCCTCTGCGAGTTGTGGTCACAGCCACACGAGGACGCTTCAGTGGAATCACTGCACGGGGTGGTGGAGGGACACGGCCATGGTAATCAAACAACCTAGAAAAAATTAAGTCAGCTGGACTTCATAAAACCTTCTGTGATTTCATGTCATGGAAGCCCTGTCAACTAAATTTTCTTGTTATCTTTGAGAAAATTACCCTTTGAAACTGTAATCACTTTATATCACAGTCAAATTAGATTTCAAGGACCTATGCACATTAAGTGCCATATTCAGATTTCAGTCACAGACCAGTGCATGGCTCAGATTTTTTGTGCAATTTAAATGAGAGATGCGTTATGGGACTCTGATATTTGCAGTATGGAAAATCCATAACCTGCTTTCCACAGGTCCGCATAATTTCATTACACACAACTAACAGCAGTACATTTTGCTGTGGTGACATTTCAGCTCCTTTATCACACGCATGGCTTAAATTCTAGTTTTCTATCTGATATCCTTAAAGATAGAAAAATAAATAAACTTTTCTGAAACCAGCTATCTCTATAAAGAAATGTCCTGAAGTTTGTAAAATAGCAAAAGAGTCTTTGTAGTGAGGGACCTGTACATCCTCTGAATGCATAGACAAGAGGCCCCAGCATGTGTTCTCTTTATTGAAGAATGAATTGATGTAGAATCACTAAAATACACAAGCATGCTTGATAAAAAAGTCTTGCTAAAAAGAAAGCCACTGTAGTAAATATTCAGAGAATTACAACTACGGTCAATAAAAGATACTCTACAAACAAAATTAACTAGTGTTCCCAAACAGATACCCCAATCCTAAAAACACAGTAAACTACAGCAGCTAACTAACCTGCATAGAAGCAAATAAAGGCAGTAGAAAAGGTAATCAGAGCTACACATATATTTAGAACATAAAAGCTATGGTCCCTGAATACGACAGGTTAGGAGAAGAAAGTTCAGAAAATCAAGATTTCCAATTCAGAGACTGAAGCTGACAGACAAGAAACATCCTAACAAAATATTCTCAAATTTCTATCAAATGATACTTGCAACTAGTAATTATGGAAATTTATAACTGCATGTTTGATTTTCACAATTCTGACTACTGTCACCCAGCTGGACAGATAGATACACATTTGAAAACAGACATGCAAGAACAGGAAGTAGAATCAAACTTAAGTCTTTCAGCCTGTTTTCTGGCAAGTAAACACCTAATGCTTTAATTCCAGTATCCTTACTGTTGTCTGTACCATAATCCTACAGACAATATAACCAGCTCCCTCATTTTCTATAGCTGCCTATGAAATATGTCACAGAGATCCTGTCACCCCCACCGAACTTGAACCCCATGGCCTTGAATATTCTTACTGAACAAGCAGTTTCTAGCCATTGTGAGCATAACTAAACAATTGTGTATGAAGATGAACACTAAAACATTTTTGGGACTTTTAACAGAAATATTACTGTTTGTTGTCACTCATCTTTTATCATATTGTATGATCTGCAGGTTGGTCACAATCTCTGGTTTTATATACCGGAAAAAAATGTTTCAGAAGAACTGTAAGCTATTGTGCAAAAGATCATTACACAATTATTCCTCCAAAGGTGATATTTTCTAGCTTCCAATAGCTTATGTTTAGATAACGTAGTGAAATGCAAAACTATTCTTCCTTTTTTTGAAATACATGAAAGGACTGTAATCCAATATTATTGTTCTTACTTTTATTTTTGAAATTATGCAAAGCTTTTGGGCTTGGCATTTTGTTGCACCAAGTTCTACATATTTCAATGGTGTATGCTTTCTTTAAAAAAATGCTTCTTTTTATCCGCTTTGAAGTACCCTGCCTGTTTTCCTTGTGTTTGTAATATGAGAAATGATAAATAGAAATGCTCAATTCTAAAGCAATTCTTTGTTCCAATAATCACTAATGTGCATATAACAGTGCCTTTCCTTTCACCCACCCTTCTAAATTGTGCAGTCCTGATCTTGTCAATCTGTCTTCATACAGATTTGATTTTACAGCACTAACCATTCTTGCAACCCTTTTCAAACCCCACCACTGCTTTAGTCAAGATAAAATAGGTGTATTCTCCCTTCAGGAAGGTTGGAAAATTAATGAATATTAGAAAACAAGACCTATGGTTTGGGATAAAATGCAGAAACTCAGAAAATTCAGAAGTTCAGAAATTCAAAAAATCATGACTATATTTCTTGATTTACACTTCCTATAGGCATGTTGATAGTACATCAAACTCTCCATAGGATTTTTTTCTCATGCCTACGATACAGAGCTTTTCATCTTCCACTTACATTAACTTGGATCTAACAGAGACCCAGCAAATCAGCATACCCAGCCTTGTGAGGGTATCCCGTCATGTTCGGGTTTTCTACCATAAAAATTCTGCTGTCTTAATCCTGAAAGATTTCTAAATCAGAAAATTATATGATCAAATAGATTTATGGACATTTTTCACTGTCAGCAGTTTTCCATAATAAGACAATCACCGAGATAGACACCAAATTCCACAGAAACAACCTTTAATGTCCCATAAATATTTATTTTGTTGTGGAAATGTAACCATTATAGTTGCTCATTTATGCTACACATAACACACAGAATTAGGGAAAAAAACTAACGACACATAGCTTTAATATTCAGGTGGCATAGATCAGAAACAGTACTGTGTTTAAAAATATACAAATCCGTGAATGAAATTTGGAGCAGTAGTCCTGGGGAAAGAAAACACAAGCCTGTGGAAGTTAATCTTTTACAGGACGTGAGCTGCTCCTGCCGTCAAGGCTGGACTGAGGAGAATTAAACTGCATTGATGGCTTTTTCTCCATATGTTTATAGCTCACTATTTTTAGCTCTGTGCAAAGTGAGTATAGTCATTTACATGTAAAAACAAAATTAGTGGTTTGAATGGAATCAACTCCAGGAAAAAAACAAAATTGGAAAACATTGTTTCTAAATTTTTCCTACAGTGTTCCTAAGCAGAAAGGTATATAGCACATGATAACTTAACTTCAGGGTGGAAACCTGCTATTGTCCTTTGCTTTACATAAAAGAAATCTCAGATTAGAAGAGGTTGATGGAGTAAGGCTTTGTTCTCCTTTGACTCACTTGGCCTATGCTAAACCAGGCTGCTGTAATGCAGGGACACAACAGGCTAGTTATCTGTGGTCATCCATGTTAACTCTGTGTTGTGGTGATACTACTACATCTGAATGAGTAAAATAAGCACGCCTACGTACTCAAGGCACAAGTCTCCAGTTGCTCAGGTATCCACACTTTTCCTCCCATAGAAATACACATGTTGTTCAACTTGTGGTTTTCCTTCCCTCAAGGTCCTTCTAAACCCTCTTGGAAGTCACATTTTTCAGAAGACATTCTATATCTTTTCATACACATGGATGAAAAGACAAAGATATGAGTGTCATACTGAAAAAATTTATAGCTGCTATATGTATCAGTAAAAGTAAGGCTGGAAGAACTCCATAGGAAGAAACACTGAGCAAGTAAACTAACATTAAACTGTTCAGCAGAGAACATGCCCAGAAGCTCTTAGGGAAGGATAAGACCAAAAGAGCAGTTTAATGAGCGTGCACTTGATGGTGGTAATCTTCTCTTTTTGTAATATATTAATATAGTCTTCTTCTGACACACAATAGAAATAATTAAATGAATAATATGTAAAATCAGAACAGACCTGTCTAGACAAATGTTGTGATTACATTATAAACAAACAGTAGAAATAGTGTAGGATGTACAAAAATATAACCACACATACCGATTGTAGAAATCATCTCTGTAGTAATCGTAATCAAAGACATAACCACTGTGGAAAAACATAGAAAAGCAAGAATGAACTGGTTATATAGAAAACTACACATTGATTAAAACTTCTGTAGTAATATTGGCTTACTCTCATATTCCAAACCTTTCTTCAAAGTCTTCTTCTTACACTCCTTTTCCACAACCATACACCATACATTATGATTGTCAATGCTGTTGTCAGCTATCTCTGTAGTATATTTGGAAATGTGAAGTCTGGGGCATGCAGAACAGTGTAAACAGTTGACAGCACATAGAGAAAGGATTTAATACAACATGACAGCTCTGTAATTAGAGCATCATTATAGTGTAATTCTCTGAGTGATCAAATGAGGTGAGCACTCTCATACTGAAGCCCTCTTCTTTGCTGGGCTAATGTAGCATAATCAGTGAACTAGTGGCATGGTTTGAACCCTGATAGAGGCAAACACCGCACAGCTGCTTGCTCACTCTCCCCACTCCCAGGCATGGGGGAGACAATTAGAGGGTCAAAGGGAAGAGACTCATGGGTTGAGATACGAACAATTTAATAACTAAACTACAACAAAACTGAAAATAGTAATGACAATAGTAATGATACTAGCAATATATAAAAATATACAAATGGATGTTACACAGTGATACTGCTCACCACCCAAAAACCAATGTTCAGCCCGTTCCTGGCCGATGATCCTGGAGCAGAGAGAGTCCCAAAACCGTAATCCCAGCAAGGAGATAAGCCCAAGAGTCCGAGAGAGAGCAAAAACTGACTGACAGAGCAAGAACTGATCCAGAGGGAGAGCTTCTGGCCAATTTGGGTCTCAATCCTACACCTCAGGTTGAATCCTAGGCTAGTAATTGGGGCTGTGCTCCCTCCCAGCTTCTCCTGCACCTGCAAACACTGGCACTGCAGAGAGGCTGAAAAGTCCTTGGTTGTCCTGGCAGCAACTATAAACATGAGTATGTTATCAACCTTCTCCTCAGCACAAATACAAAACATAACCTCTTACTAGACGCTATGAAGAAAGTTAACTCTGTCCCAGCCAAACCCAGGACAGCTAGGAAGACTGTTACGTATATGAAAGACTGTTAAATGAGTGAGTAGGTGAGCAGAGATAAGACAAGGATTTGGTTTATGAGAAACAGGAAAAGGGTCTTTGAGTTTGACAAATCTTTCATCATAAAGAGAAAAGGAAAAACTTTAGCAAAATAAATGAGGCAAGCAATAATGTTACAGAGACGCCTTTCCTCTCAGATTCAGAAGGAAATATACATATCAGTTTGGGAAAAGAAAGACCCCATCAAGGGAAACAAATAGAGGTAGGAAATTGCAAAGGTCCAGGGGAAAGCATTTTTGAGCTGTCAATTGCAAAGTCAATCCTAGATTGATCTTCCTAGTTCTGCATTCCATTTGCAACTTTCGAACTTTATGGTGAAGAAATAGCAATAAAGTCTATCTATCTTACACATCTGAAAAAATAGAACCAAAGAGCTAATAAATGGTCTGTAGGGAGAAGTCACAAGGGATTTATATTGATGAAGGACTAGTAACAAAACCCCTAAGTTATTCACTTGCCTGAGAAGGACAATTATGAATAGTAAAGCATGAGAGGCATGAAGAAAGTACCACAAAAAAGGAGAAGCTTTAAATAAGAAAGCTGAAAGGTAGAAAGGAGACAGTTAGAAAGGACAATGCGCAGAAGAAAACATTCACTGAAAATAAAGGGAGACGAAAGATGGTAGCTACATATTAATGAAGTCTGCCTTCACAGGGAATGGATTTGTGGATTATTTCTGCTCTTGCACATTGAGAAAAATGTCTTCAATTCTTTTTTTAGTGCATAATTTGAAGAATGGGTCAAGAATTCTGGAGTTCTTTGGGTTTGTTGTTCCTCATCATATAATGCCCCTTTCCCCTTCCTTTTCCTATAATTCGGAGGTTGAACACTTAAAAAGGGGAAAAAATAGAGCTGGCAGGCTTAAATTACCTCATTAATCATTTCATCCCCATGTTTTGATTTTGAAGGCTTGTAATTTCCACTGTCTGCATCTAGCAAAAATAACCATGAAAGGAGCAGAAAGTCAGGGGACAATTTTCACCTCTGCCACATCTGCTTTGGGTGTAAGTGCAAGTGACAGGTCAAATTGTGCTGTCTACCCACATGATACCGGGTCAGCAGTGAAGATCATGAGGCTCACCAGGTAAGAAAGCCAACTGTAGTCCAGTTGGTAATTTATTTGAGAAAAGAAAGGCCTATATGCAGTTTATGTGAAACATTTATTAAATAAAACAGCCCTGAGAGACTAGACCCCAGCAGAAGGTAAGCTGTGTGTGTGGCAGAGGAAATGAAATAATATTAAGCAATAATAGCTAGACCTTGTATAGCGATCATGTTTCTGTATCTTACTGTAACACAAAACTAGCAAAATTTTCCCTAAACTATGTGACAACTCTTATTGTCTTTCACTCTGTAGTCAGTCTACGTGAAACCAAGAGGCAGAAGGCAGCAAACCTATTATTTTATTTACAGCTATTCATGGTGTGCTAGTGGTTTTATTTAGCTGAATGATTAATAGCTGCAGTAGGCCCATACTTAATATTCAGTTTGTGTTTTTAAGTTGAAGATAACAGACAATTTGAAGAAAAAAGATTAAATTTAAAAAGCCTGTCACATGAAACCATTCACCTGGAGTGACATTAATTTAATTTGCATAAAGACCAGATAATTTAATTTTTTCAAGGTTGAAGACCATGAAGCTGATGAAGAATAATTCACTTTGCACCAGCTAAAGTAAGGCTGAAGGGCACCTGTATTTTTCTGTGGCAACTCTGGCCCATAGATGCAATAAGGACTGTTGGCCCTTCACTGGGCTTTCAGAATGTGGAACTCGCTTTTCATATACAAATGCCATGACAGAGATGGCTCCAAGCCATCCCCAGGAGCTGAGGCACTGATGGGGCACAGGAGGGAGAGAGGTCTCAGACAGACATCTGAGCGCACTAGGGAAAAACGTCAGTAGGCTTGAGAGAGGGTTGAGCGGTTGGGAAAGGCTCACAGGTGCCTCAGATGAGGGTAGTCACAGGCAGGGGAGGTTTTGGGTAGGGAAAATGCAGGAAAGGATTTCTGGTGTGGCAAGTGATTGTTTCTCTCCTTTCCTACCTCCTGCTCTCACATTGTGACTGTACCACTGATGAGATTCTGTCACACAGCATTCTTCATGCAGAATATTTTTATATGCTTAAAAATGTAGCTTATAATTTTCAATTTTTTTTTTAATATAGTGTAACATCTGGGATAATACTTCTCTTTTGAGAGAAGCAGTTTTGCACATCATTCAGCCCCTAAGAATTTCATTCTTTTACTCTCTTCCCATTCAGGTAACTTCTGTCTTGAAACTGATATAACTTCTTTTTGGTCCTTCAGCTTTGCAAATGAGTTACAACCCACATGGGATAACGCTTATCTGTGGGACCAAAGCAAGAAAAAGTAGAAGCACATTTGGGAGTCTGATCATCACATGGCAGTGTAATCTATGAATTCATGTAAATTCTTATGGGTTGCTTATATTACCTTTTAAAAATATTTCATTTTTTTCAAAAGCATCTGATGCTGTTATAATGTCCTTAATTTTCACCCAGAGAAACCCCATCAGTTTTCATATAGTGTTTTATAGCTGAAGCTATCTAAACAGCTCTGCTACAGATGTTGCCTCTAACCTTAAAGTTAAAATGCTTTGCATTTTTGCATGGTTTAGTTCAGTAGCATGCATTGCTGCTGAGACAAGAGGTAATGACAAGTACTCTGTGTGTTACATGACATTCAGTCCCTGAAATGGGCATACACACGTCTTCAGCTGCAGCAAACATTTAATTTGTCCTTCTTATCCATCTCTCTGCTGAAAGGTTACTGACCCCATGTCCAGGATACAAATGCAAATACATGGTGGCTTCTAACAGTGCAGCCTGCTAGCACAATTGACAGGCTAACAGGAGTTGATTTGCTTGCATTTCTGGTCTGAGTGAGTTTATTCTAAGTGAAATCTCCTTCACAATTCAAGGGCATCCCTGCTAATTATGTCCCATGTCCCATAATAAGGGTGCTCCAGCACGAGGTGGGGAGGGAATCTCTGCTTTCCCCACAGACCATTTGGGATATCTCTGCACTGGCAAAAGGCACTTCTGTGTGGAAGTACCATTCATATTGAGCAGGAAAGAGCCAGTTCTGCACATTCAGGGACTCTTTGCCTGGGGCCACTGGCAAAAATGTGGCAACAGCTACTTCACCTTCAAGGTGAAAATAGCACCCAGAGGTGATAGAGGTGGATGGGCTACTCTGAGCTCCAACAGAGCAAGAGGCTCAATTCTTTTTCCATTTCTCATTACTTGGTCTCCTTGAAGAAAGCTGACTGAATTCAGGTGTTGGTCATGGAGGAAAGACATTTATCCTTCCATGCTATCTATTAAAATAAAAGAAGGGCAATAGCACTGTAGGACCTTATCTGTAGGTGTTGACCTTTATGGAATAAGACGGGTAAAGGACGGTGAGTTTAAAACTCTGGGAAATCTTGATGTGGATTCTTCTTTATATCCATGATTTGAGTTTTCTTTTTCCTTTTCTGAAATTGTACTTGCAGCTGTGACAGTACAGGCAACACAGAGACAACATGCTGTATGTAGCTCCTGGCGTTGTGTCCTTCACTGGGACTGCTGAGTTAACAGCTCACAGCACAGGACATCACATGAGACCCTTAGAGATCTGGGGGTTTTAAAGGCAGTTCCTAGTCCTTTTGGCTGTGAAGCAGCTGTTCTACACAAGTACTGAAAAGGCTATGAACCAACAACAATGAAAAGAACCCAAATTGGATGACCTAGGAGAAAAAAAATACCTTTTGTGTCTCCAACTGATCTCACTTGGCTTTTTTCTTTTTCATTCCTCTTTTTTTTTTTTTTATCTTGAATGATGATGTATCATTTATAATAACACATTAAAGAGATTATACTGTGAAAGCAACCAGTACATCTAC